CCAGGGGCTCTTAAAGACCTTTCCAGCCGGCAGGCGCTGTTCTGTGGGGTTCTCAGAAGCCAGGGACAAGGCGTGTGTGGCTCGGAGCGGTGTGACCCTGGGACATGGCAGCCCTGGCCGCAGGCTGGCCTGGTGGCTGGGAGTAGGACTGGGGTCGTTGGCTTGCCCACTGCCGGCTACATGAAGGGGCCTAGTGAGCTGTCCCACTCAGACTCCTGGGTTCAAGCCTCCACTCTACATCCTAGCTGGGCCCTCACAGACAACCACGTCACTTCATGGGGTGCCTCTTTTGTCCCAGCTGCAACTTGGGAATGTCCTTCGCACTTAACCTTACAGACTCCCTAGACGATCCAAATTCATAAACTCAACGCAAGTGCCCAGCAGTTTGTTTCCTGTGGCTGTTTCTACGCTTCCTCCCTCTCCCACACCCATGCCCTAGGCTCAGGAGAAAACCAGTCAGCTCATCCCAGCGTGTACCCCACCCCAGAAGCCTACCCCTGCCCTTTGGAGCTCAGGGGCCCCCCATTCTAAAATCCTTGACGTTCAGGTGGACAAGGGCCTGAGGGAGCAGCTGGCTCTTGGCCTATCCATTGTGCAGATGGGGACGCTGAGGCCCAGCGTGCCAGTAGCAGAGCCCCGGCCTTCCCACCTGCCCTATGTGTTTTTCCCCTGGCAGAGCCAGGCTTGGGAGGTGCTGGCTGTGAGTGCCTACCCTGCAGGGTCCCACAAGGGAACACCTAGAGTACCTGAGGGGGTCGGTGGGTGCCATCATCTGGTGTATGCCTGGGGCAGGGACCCACGCCTCCAGCCTCCTCTTGCCTCCCCCCGCCCCTAGCTGCTGGAGTGGATCCGCCGCACCATCCCCTGGTTGGAGAACCGGCTGCCGGAGAACACCATGCAGGCCATGCAGCAGAAGCTGGAGGATTTCCGCGACTACCGGCGCGTGCACAAGCCGCCCAAAGTGCAGGAGAAGTGCCAGCTGGAGATCAGCTTCAACACGCTGCAGACCAAGCTGCGTCTCAGCAACCGGCCCGCCTTCATGCCCTCCGAGGGCCGCATGGTCTCGGTGAGCGAGCCGCCGCCGCGGCCCACCAACCCCCCAAAGCCTGGCTCACTGCCGGCCCCCCTGCTCCTGAGCCCTGGGGAAGGGTGCCCCTCTCCCAGGCTTGGGCCCCCCACCCCCTCGCCTCTGCTCCCCTCAGGCACCCTTGCCCTTCCAGCACCCACGTGGGTGCCCGGGGGTGGCCTGAAGAGCAGGAGACAGTTAGACTTTTCTGTAGGGTCTTGGTGGTCTCCGATCACTTTCCCAGAGAGCGTTTTATGATTTAAAGAGGTCGTGGTGTTTTCGTAGGATACGTCAAAGATACCAGGGAGCAAGATATGGAAACGGGAAAGGACCCATCCCAGTATTGATTTTTTTTTATTCCTCTTTTTTTTTTTAAGATCCTTGTAGTCTTCTTATGGAAATATTATTTGAAGGGGATCTTTAAAAAAGAAAAACAAACCCTTTACCAAGCAGTGGATTCCGATGGGTAGCTGCCCGCGAGGACAGAGCAGACCTGTGACCCCGTGACCTGCCTCCAGTCTAGGGGGGCTTGTGAAAAAGGCTGAGGGCTGGGCGGGGCTTGATTTTCAGTCAGACAGCTGGCCGCACCTCGCCACAGCAGTCTCCAGCAGACTTCGCGTCCATGTTATGAACTCCTACCGCTCCTTTCCTGGTTGGGCCTGGGACCACTGTCCTTTAGCACGAAGACGGGTGCACTAGAGGCCAGCAGTGGACTCGGGTGGGGTGTGGGCAGGGAGGCAGGACCCCCGGGGGATGTGTAGCTTAAAGGAAGAGTGACAGGCCTTTGATGGTGCCATTTAGAACACCGTGCCCTTGCCGGAGACCCAGGGCTGAATCCTGCCTTGCAGGCCGCCAGCGGGAGCGCTGAGCAGATTCGAGAAGACACCCTCCTTTGGGCATATTCAGCTCAGCACCGGGGTGATGGGGGCTGCAGGGCCATACTGGTGGGAGGGTGGGTGGGCTGGTAGGCGAGCGGGTGGCGTGGGGCCGCCGGGTCCTGACCACGTGACCTCCTGCCCCCGCAGGACATCCACAACGCCTGGGGCTGCCTGGAGCAGGCCGAGAAGGGCTACGAGGAGTGGCTGCTGAACGAGATCCGGCGGCTGGAGCGGCTAGACCACCTGGCCGAGAAGTTCCGGCAGAAGGCCTCCATCCACGAGATCTGGACAGACGGTGAGGCCAGCCTGGCCCCGCCCCCCAGCCCTGCAGCCAGCCACGCCCTTTCTTCTCCTGCTTGCTTGTGGGTGCCCTCTCGTTCTTTGACAGCAGACAGGGTCCGTCGCCTCTGGGCCGCCTCAGTTGGCCTCTCTGTGCAGGGGGATGTGAGAGTCTCGACCAAGTAGAGGTCTGAGAGTGCAGTGAGAAGTGTCACTCATTTTTGTTACGGCAGGAGCTCGCTCTTCCTCCCCCGGGCTCCGTGAGTCTGGGCTTTGCAGCCAGAACTCTGCCTTTCAGGCCGAACCGGTGGCCACCACCTCGTTAGCGCCAACTCCTGGGGACCTGCTGTGGGCCTGGGTGGCGCTGTGTGTTCCAACAGAGCCTTGTCCACGGCCAGCCAGGAGTGGCCGGAAGAGGAGATGGGTGGGCTTGTCTGTAGGGTCTTTGTCTTCTAGTCCTGTTAGAAGGTCCCCTGGGGATTCTGAGCTGAAGAAATAGGAGGGAGGGAAGAAACGTCGTATTGGGATGCAGCCCTTAACCTCGAAATTCCGCCTTCGTGGACCGAGGGGGCCTGAGAGTCTCTGCAGACACCGGGTGGGGCTGGGCCCGGAGCAAGGCCTGGCGGGGTCTAAGAGCAGTTCAGGAAAGCTGCTTCTTAGGCCCACTCTGCTCACTTGGAAACAAGTCCAAGAAATGCAAGACCTGCCCTGCTCACCAAGGGCAGAGAGGCACGCATGTGGGTTGGGTGCCCACGAGTGGCCACACTGACCGCCTGCCCGAGCATGACAGTCACCGTAGCTAGTGAAAGTCTAAAGAGGGCCTTCACCTGAGGTGCGCCCCGCCTTTTACAAATGAACATGGCACTCTGCATGCCCGCCTGCCCCGTGTTCCCCTGCAGCCTTCATTCTGACTGGTAGTGCCATTGTTAAGGGTTCAGCTGCTAACCCAAACGTCAGCGGTTTGAGTCCACTGGTGGTTCCAGGGCGAGGTGAGAGCCTTGGTCACCTGTCCCCCGAAAGGTTACAGACTAGGAAACCCTGTCGGGCAGCCCACCGATCCAGCTTCCTACTGAGCCATGTTTCGTGAGCCTCCGGGATCCTCAGGAGCCCTGGTGCCTTAGGGGTCACACGCTGGGCTGCCAGCCTCAAGGACAACAGTTAGAAAACACTGGCCGCCCCGCGGGAAAAGATAAGGCCGTCCTTTCCTTAAAGGAAGATGGACAGTTCTGCCTGCGCTAGAGGGCCGCTGTGGGGCTGCTCAGACGCTGCTGTGACAGTGCGTTTGGGGGCTTTGTTCCAGTATGATGTGCCCCTCGTACTGCAGCTAGTTAGTTTCCTCTTGAGCACCTCCTTGGGCTGGGGAGCTCCCGGGGCCCTGCGGGTGGGTGGTGGGGGCCAAGGAGACCAGCCCCTGGCTCCTGCCCAGCCTGTGCCCCTCTCTCTGCCCCAGGCAAGGAGGCCATGCTGCGGCAGAAGGACTATGAGACGGCCACCCTCTCCGAAATCAAGGCCCTGCTCAAGAAGCACGAGGCCTTTGAGAGCGACCTGGCTGCCCACCAGGACCGCGTGGAGCAGATCGCCGCCATCGCGCAGGAGCTCAAGTAGGCCCGCCCCGCCCGGTCACTGTCCCCCGCCCTCACCCCCTGCTTGGCTTTCCCAGCTCCTGTGGGGTGAGGGGATGTGGTTGTGACCAGTGAGGTGGGTGGGTCTGCACAGGTGGGGAGGCAGTCGATACAGAAGACAAAGATGAGGGCAGGCTCCTGGCAGGGAGTGAGTCCCCTTTCCTCCCTGTCACAGGCCTTCCATCCTTAGCCGTGGCTAGGGCTGACCCAGAGGGCCACTGGATTGTGGTTCTGAGCCTGAGCTGCTCCCAGGGCCTCGGCAGGACCCTGCAATTGGACTTTGGGGTCAGGACTGCTGTCACCTCCAGCTGGTGTTGGGTGGGAGCCCTTGGAGAGAAAGCCGCTGTCCTTGTCTGGTCCCCTTCCTTTGGAGGGGCTGGGGAGGAAGGAGCACAGCAGGGTCCCTCCCCCTCCCGCACCCCTTGGGCCCAGCCCTGGGCGGGGGACAGCGAGTTGTGGCCTGACTCTTCGCCTCTCCTCTCCTCTCCCCAGTGAGCTGGACTATTACGACTCGCCCAGCGTCAACGCCCGTTGCCAAAAGATCTGTGACCAGTGGGACAACCTGGGGGCCCTGACTCAGAAGCGGAGGGAAGCGCTGGAGGTGAGGGCCGTGGAGGGAGAGTTCAGCCATAGCCAGCACCTGGAGGCATCCACTGGGTCCCTTGACCCCCATCCCTGGCCTCTCTGTCTCTCTTTCCTGGTCTCATCCTTCGGGTCTAGGGTACCCACTAGCCCCACCCCAGCCATTTGAGAGCTTCTCTCTCACTAAACAGACTCTCTGGGCAGGGCAGGCAAGGTCAGGGGGTGTCCCTCCGGTCCGTGTGGGACCTGCACCCCAGAGAAGCGTGCTCCTCCACCTGCGTTAGCCCAGTGCTGGCCCACCTGGGTTTGGGGGTCCAGCCAGGAAGATCTACTGGGTGGGGAGTTGTGGCAACCCTCTGTTCAACATGTCCCTCCCCCTGGCCCTCCCAGCGGACGGAGAAACTGCTGGAGACCATCGACCAGCTGTATTTGGAGTATGCCAAACGGGCTGCCCCCTTCAACAACTGGATGGAGGGGGCGATGGAGGACCTGCAGGACACCTTCATCGTGCACACCATCGAGGAGATCCAGGTGGGCATGGCCCCTCCCCTCCCGGGGACCCTGGATGAAGCTGGAAGAGGATGGCAGGAAAGGCTTACAGCGGGGTCTCCCCTCCCCAGAAAAAGCAGCACACGCTAGCAGATACACGGGCCAGTTCATCCTCCATTCTGTACATGAGCAGTAGTCCTATCTTATACACACTCCGTACTTCCTAGCATGACTCAGTGGGCCAAAGACCAGGTCGTTAGATGAAATTGGCATGATGCTAAGTACCGCCCCCCACCCCCTGCCTACCCCATTGTGTCTGGCTTTCTTGTGGCACAGCTCCTCAGAGGTGGCAGCGGTGGTTGGATGTTGTTTACCACCTCCCAGAGTGGTCCTCCGTCTACTCTGACCCACACAGTCCTCTTCCTGGCTTCCCCCGCCAACCTCCCACCAGCATCTTCAGCCCCTCGCCTGGCCTTCCCCGGCCTTCCTGCAACGTTGTGTCCCCACATCCCCTGTCGTCAGACTGAGATACCAAAGATGAATGGGAGAAGGTGGCCCACAGACAGTAGACCACCATGCCTCCTGTGGCCCAGCCAATGCCAAAGCCCCCAGTGTATGTGGGAGTGGCACTCAGTGTGTGGTATGGTCCTGGGTGGGGCCTGTACCTTTTGAGGGTGCTGCCTGAGAAGTTGATCAAAGTGGTTGTAAATGGGAAATGTCCGGTGATTGTGAGGAGCAGGTATCCACTGTATCCTGATTCTAGTAACTTTCTTGTGCCTGTATATACCTGCATCGTTGTCTATCTGCCAAAGCTAAGGAAGCCCTGTGGGGAGGGGAGAGGGGGTGCCTGGGGAAGGAGATGTCTGAGGGCACCCCTGGCTACTAATCTGACTGGGTTGGGGGTAACTAGATGGCCTGATGTGGCGGCTTTGGTCTTCACCAGCCCCAAGGATGGAGCTGTGGCTTGGATGGCTTTCTGCCATCTGGTTCTCAGGCATGAACATCCTTCCTTGCCTGGCACCTCTGGTCTCCCACCGGCAGTTGGTCTGGTGCTCATCTTGCCCAAAGGTGGTGCCAGTCCCTCTGAGTGAGTGTGCCTCTTCTGCCCCTCTGGCCCCCGGTCTCTGTCCAGGGACTGACCACAGCGCATGAGCAGTTCAAGGCCACCCTCCCCGATGCCGACAAGGAGCGCCTGGCCATCCTGGGCATCCACAACGAGGTGACGAAGATTGTCCAGACCTACCACGTCAACATGGCGGGCACCAACCCCTACACCACCATCACGCCGCAGGAGATCAACGGCAAATGGGACCACGTGAGATAACAGGCTGGGTGGGCTGTGAATGGAGCCACTGTCGGTTTTGTAAGGGGCGGGGTTTGTGTCTGTCTGCCTTTGTCTTACTTTTTTATTGGTTTTCATCCATCCCACTTATCTGGATCAATTCCACTGATCCTATTGCCCCTGCATTCGTTTTCTAAGGCTGCCATTAAAAAGCTACCAAAGAGCCAGGGGTCTGCCCTCTTCGCAGTTCACTGTTCTGGAGCGGAGAAGTCTGAAGTCAAGTGGTGTCAGTAGGGCCATTAGTGAGGCCGTCTTTGCGTCTTGTGTGAAGGAGCTGCTGGCCTCAGGCTCTCCTTGGCTTGTGGCAGCACACCTCCAGTCTCTGCCTCCGCACCGCTGTCCTCCCTCTGAGCCTGTCTCTTCTGGACTCTTCTCCTTTTAGAAGGGTAGCGATCAGCATTAGGGGCCTTTTAACTAATAAAACCTGTTTTTCTGCAAATAGACTATTTCCAAATAAGGTCACGTGCACAGGTCCTGGGCATTAGGGTTTGGATTTACCTTTGAGAAATGCTAATCAATCCACATTAGTCAAGAAGCAAACATGTATTTGCTTATTAATAATATTCTTTTTATTGTAAATTAGTTGGGGAGGCTGTTTACATTTCTGATCATTAATCTTGTATTCAATAGTTTAATCAAACTCCCTATCCCCCTCTCCCTCCAAGAGTTTACACTTCTCCTGATCTTGGGTTTCTCTTCCTCTTTCGGGCTATTGTCTTCTCCCATTTCACCCTAGTCCACATCGTCAACATCTAGCCCATTGCTTTCTCTGCCCTCTGTTGTCCTCCACCATCTGGAAATCTTCCACACTCTGGTATAGAAGTCTTTTTATCTTGTTTGATTATTTGTTTGCTTTCCCCTTATAACAGTGGTTCAAATCTCTGATGTCCTTATTGGCTAATTTCACTCAGCCGAAAGTGCGTCAGGTCTGTCCGTGCCACGAGGCACTTTGATTTCCCCGTGTGGATGTCCCACTGTCTGGTGCCCCTCTAGGTGGTTTCCACCGACTTTGCTGTGATGACCAGTGCTTGGTCACATGGGAGCACGTGTCCTGCTGTCATGCCTACACCCAGCCAGAGGCTTTGCCGGACCGTGTGCACTGTCTATTCCCAGTTGTCTTGGGCAGCACCAGGCTGCTGTCTGTGGAGGCTGTGCGTATGGTGTGGGTCCCCCATCAGGGTTCCAGGTTCCCGGCAGCCTCTCCGGCGGTGTTACGTTAACTGGGCTGTCGCTGTCGGGGTCAGAGAGTACCTTGTTTTGATTTGCATCTCCCAGTGGCTCATGACCGTGAGTCTGTTTCCTCTGTGTCTGTTGGCTGTTTGGGTGTCATCTTGGGTGAACTGCCTGTCCACGTCCTTTGTCCCATGGTTTCTGGGTTGGCTTTCTCCTACTGAGGTGGTGCAGTTTTCTGTAGCGTTCAGACATCAGTCCCTCGCCGGTTGCCCAGTTTTGTTTTCCTGGTCCGAAGGGTCCCTTTGTACTCTGTTGGCGGAGGGATTGGATGCACATAGCTTCTTATTTGTGGGCGCCACTCATTTCCCGTGTGTGTGTTCCCTTTGTTATATTTAATAGTACGTCTGCGCCCTGCAAGAGGGCCCTTAAACTTGTCCCTGTTTGCTCACGGATGATCTCTACAGTTCTGGCTTGTACACGTAGGTCTTGGCTCTATCTTGAGTGCATTTTTTTGGTACCTGGGGTGAGGTGCGGGCCCTGCTTCCTTCTTCTGTGGATGGAGAGCCAATTTTGCCAGCCTCATTTCTTGAAGAATCTCTAGCGAGTGTGAATGAACCTGCATTTCTAGAATGGACTGGCATTTTCACTCCAGCTCCACTACCCAGCTACCCTTTGCCTCACAGCTCCTCAGGTGGCCAGCCAGCCCCCAGCGTCCCATGTTGCTCCCCCGCAGGTGCGGCAGCTGGTGCCCCGGAGGGACCAGGCCCTGACAGAGGAGCATGCCCGCCAGCAGCACAATGAGCGGCTACGCAAGCAGTTTGGGGCCCAGGCCAATGTCATCGGGCCCTGGATCCAGACCAAGATGGAGGTGGGTTCTGCCGTTGGGGCAAGAGTCATGGCCTCACACCCCTTCCCAGAGCCATCCCTGACAGCCGGCCTTGCCTTGTCTCCTGGGCGGGACAAGTGGGAGCTGTGGGTCTTTAGCCCACAGTTGGTCTGCTAACCCACTGAGGGGTCTGGGGGCCTGTGCAGGGAAGGCCTGACTTGGGAGCAAAGACCAACCCAGGGACACACCGCAGAAGAGCCACAGGAGCAAGGCATTGCCCCGGGAGGGATCAGCTTCTGGGATGGCTGGTTTGGCTGGCTGACCAAACCCAAACCAGACTCCCCCATGAGTCGTAGCCCACTCATAGTGACCCTATAGGACAGGAGAGAACCGCCCCTGTGAGTGTCTGAGACAGTCACTCTTTACGGGAGTAGAAAGCCCCATCTTCTCCCAAGCGGTGGCTGGTGGTTTCAAACTGCTGACCTTTCAGATCGCAGCCCAACACGTAACCACTCTGCCACCGGGACTCCTCTATCCGGTTGGCCAGGTCTGGTCTCCCTTTCGCCAACCCCTGTTCCTAAGCATTGAACTTGCCAAAGATCAGTGAAAGAACCAGAAAGAAAAGTGTATCTGGGGCGGGGAGAGGGAGCTGCTATCTAAGGGCTCAAGAAGAGAGATAATGTTTAGAAATGCCAACAATTGCACATGTCCACTTGATATAATGGATGTGTGGATTGTTAGAATATAAGTAAGAGCTTTCAATAAAATGATTTATTAAATAAAAAAAGAAGAAAGTAAAGCGTGCCTGGGGCCAGCATAAAAGCACGCGGGCAGGTGTGCTGGTGAGGTGATAGGGCGTAGTAGAGGCCAGGGCAGCGAGACCACTTGGGCAAGAATTCAGCCTCTGAGCCAGTCCACGTTAGTGCCCACCACCTGCCTTATCACCGGCTTGGCACATTGTGCTCAGGGGCAGGAAGGCTGACGTGGTGAGTGACAGAAATGGGGATTGGGCTTGGCTTGTCCAGATGGGTGGCCTGCAGGCATCCCAGAGAGCAGAGTAGCAAGAGCAGAGCAGCACCCCCGCCCCCCAGCCGCGCAGTTGCTGATGTTGTGAGGAACTGGCACAGCAGACACTGGCTCCCTGTGGGGGCACCGGATGGAGATGAGGTTTGAGGAAGAGGTTTGAATGACACGCAAAAGCATGAGCATTTAGCTTAGCAGCCCCCTCCATCCTCAGACCGAATGGTAACCTTGCACACCCTCCCCACTGGGGTTGATCCACTGGGTGATGACAGTCCTGGGACACCTTGTGATGCTGTTTCCATCCCGAGGTCCCAGGTGTGTGTTGCCTTACCTGTCGTAAGCACCCATGCCACGTGTGTCCTGCTTCGGGGCGGACCTCCGAGGACAAGGGCTGGGTTCCATCCTCTGAGGAATTGACCCATGGCCCTGGGGATCCCTGGAGGACTGCCGGGGCTATTGGAGGGGAGGGTGACACGGCATCTCCTCCCCGGGCGTGCAGGAGATTGGGCGGATCTCCATCGAGATGCACGGGACCCTGGAGGACCAGCTCAGCCACCTGCGGCAGTATGAGAAGAGCATCGTCAACTACAAGCCAAAGATGGACCAGCTGGAGGGCGACCACCAGCTCATCCAGGAGGCGCTTATCTTCGACAACAAGCACACCAACTACACCATGGAGGTGGGTGCTCGGGCCCTGCTGCACCCGACTGCTCGCCCTTCCATCGCCCCAGGAAGTTGGTCACAGCCGGGGGGCAAACTGTGGCTCCGCACGCTCTGGGTTTCTGATCTTCAGTGCTTTTGTGACTTTTCCGTGCCAACTGCTTGGTGAGCGTGCAGGTTTCGAGGCCTTGCCCCCAGAAGGAGGTTTGCCACAGGAGTCACAAGCACCCCTGGTGATTCTGGTGGGAGTCGGCTCCAGGCTGGCTCTGATACCTGCCTTTCTAAAAAGACTCCTGGTTTGGATGAGGAAGGAAGAGAGAGAGAGAGAGAGTGTGTGTGTGTGTGTGTGCATGCGCGTGCCCGCCCTATAATCTTGCCCAGGACCATCTCTACTTCGGACCACCCTGAGGTGGATGGCCTCTGCTGCCCTACACAATGAGTGCTTCCCCTGCACCGAGAGCCCTTTCTCCCAGGAGGCTGCCCTGGTCCCGGACCCCGTTCCCTGTGGTGCGGACGGGATTGCTGGGGGCAGGGTTCGCCGGCCCCCATGATTCACAGGCCACTCACTTGTTCTCCCCAGCACATCCGCGTGGGCTGGGAGCAGCTGCTCACCACCATCGCCAGGACCATCAACGAGGTGGAGAACCAGATTCTCACCCGGGATGCCAAGGGCATTAGCCAGGAGCAGATGAACGAGTTCCGGGCCTCTTTCAATCACTTTGATCGGGTGAGAGTCCCACGCCAGCCCTGGCCCAGGGCCCTGGAGGACAGTGTCCCGGGAGGGATGGTGCCCAGGATTTAGGCTGACCTGCTGGGGCAAGAGGAGAGGGAAGAGCACCACCCGTGGCCTGCCATGCCCACTGTGCACAGGTGAGGCTGTCCTGGAAGGCCCATCTGTGCTCCCAAGGGCTCTCTCCAAGTGTGATCCTGGCCCTCTGGAGAGAGGACTTGTGTCCCTCCCCCCCCAGGCTTCAACCCCCCGGGGAGGGAGGCTGGCAGCCTCATGAGAAGGCCTCTGCCCATGCCTCCAGGCACCCTCTGACCCCTCCACCAGATTTTCCTTGGGCTACTCCCTCCTGGGCCTGGGGACTGGGGCAGCCGTGAGGGTGGGCGCATGGGACCACGGGCCTGCCCACCCGCCTGCCTGCTTCACTGCCCTCCAGGCCCCTGGGGTGGCGGGAGGAAGGTTCAGAAGCCCCGGGAACCTGGGGTAGGGGTGGCGGGTTGGGACAGGCTGGAGCACTTCCAGGGTTTTTTTCCCCCCCATGGCTCCTGTGCTCCCCTACCAGGGCACGAGCCCCCTGGCACCTCCTCCGTGTGTCTAACGTGTGTCCTTTTATTTCCCCTCCTCCCTC